TGTATGATGAGTGGTGTATGATGAGTGGTGTATGATGAGTGGTGGTTGAACAGCTGTTGAGTGTCCGTAACACGGAAGTTTTGCACACTAAACTTCCTTTGATGATACTACTACCTGGTTTATGTACCTTGTTGACTATATGGTTCCCCGCCCCCGGGGGTAAAGAAGGGCCACACCTATGTTTTTGGTTCGATAGTGTTTCGGCTTGTAAGTTGGATGCAGCCGTGCCGCGGCTGCAACTTGCGCTTAGAGCTGGTAGTGGGCACCAGCGGGTTCTGTGGCGCCTGCTTCCTTGCAGTGAAGATCGAACGCCTGGTCTTCACTCGAGCTCCTCCTCACGGGGCACCGACCTTGATCGGCTATCTTTCTAAGGTGGTGAACACTATAGAAGATCAGTGCGAGCGCTTTGAAGCAGACAGGACAGCAGGATACGCGGACCACCGGGGAAAGCCCCTGAAAGATCAGGCACCAAAAGAGAAGGGAGCCTTTGAGACGGGAACGCATCCTGGGGACAGGCATCCAGAGGCAGGAGGAGCGTCAAGCAAAGACAAGCCAGAGCCCAAGACGGAGAGCCCATGTTTGTTGAGGCCAAAAAGCTCTACGAACGCAAATCCAGCAAGGATTCCGAAACCGGATTGCCGAAGAGCGTGTTGAAGGACTCTATTTTCAGAACGGTGAGTCCAGTTTTCAGGAGACGCTCTCCTCAGGCGACATCTATGTCATGCACAGCGAAGATGGGGTGGAGTTCTTCGGCTTTCGGAAGATCGAAGCTGGTCGCGAGAGGCGTGTTTTGCTGCCGTGGACAGTCTTGCTGAGAGAGTCATTCAGAGCTTCAAAGAGGTGCTCGGCCATTCTTTGGTTCCCCGCCCCCGGGGGTAAAGAAGGACCACACCTATTTTTGGCTCGATAGTGTTTCGGCTCGCCCGCCTCTCCCTCTAAACCGGGAAAGAAAGAGAAGAAGAAGGCTTTTAAAAGACCTTCAAAGAGATGAGCGTGAGAGCATGAGAATAAGAGACTCTCAATTTTGTTCCTCGGGGCCTAGTCAGGGTTTGGGTTTGGCCCGCCTGACTAGGGGGGGAACAGACAACTTGGAACGCCCCCTTCCTTGAGCTGTGGACCGAGGAAGGGGGGAGTAGTCAACCCGGTTTATTTTGTGGGTTTTTCTTTCTAAGTTTTATCACTTTTGATTTGTTATGATAACATTGCTGCAGAGCGAACTGAAAAGAGGTGCTCGGCCAATCTTTATATATATATATACCTTCCATCTAATAACAATTCTTTGGGTGGTGGTGCTGGTGCTGGTGCTGAGTTGCAACGTTCCTCGACTTGGTCACCTGGTGACGGCAACATCCCTCCAAGATCTCCAAGACTTGATATGATGATATGTCACTGATGTTCTCATCTTCCACTGGTGGTGAAAAATTGCCTTGACACATGCGAATCACTGATGAGAACGTCGATGTGATCATATGCAATCTGGCCATATCCGGCCAAGCTCAGTTGTTGTTTTGAGGGGAAGTGAGGAGACTTTTTTCATGTTACAGCTGTATACTGCCTCCGTTTGCTTCATATGGTAGATGAATTCTCGGAGCATGATAATATACACTTCGACCTGATCAGAGACTGGGCATACCATCGATTTACTTGTTCAGATGAACAAGTTGGAGGGCCTTTTCACGAAAGCTAGCATGCTAGCTGAGTTCTTCTTTGCTTTAGCAATGTTGTGGTGGGAGGGGCTGCGTGCCTTAAAGATTGATATATCAAGCTAACCCCCCCCCCCCCGCGGTTCAACTCCCAGCTGCGCTGTGTAGGGGTTTGGTTGAACGTGTGAACGTGGTTGGTTGGGTGTAACGGTGGCTTGGTGTAAAGGGTGCTGCTGCTGCTGCTGCCGCTCTGCTGCTTGCTGCTACTGTTTGCTGCTGCTGCTGTTGCTGACGACGCCGCTGCTACTGCTGCTTGCTGCTTGCTGCTGCTGCTTGCTGCTTGCTGCCGGTGGTGCTTGCTGCCGGTGGTGCTGCTGCTGCTGCGGCTTGATGCTGCGCTGCTGCTGCGTGGTGCTGCTGGCTGGCTGCTGGTTGGTGGTTGCTGCTGGCTGCTGGCTGCAGGCGGCTGCTGCTGCTGCTGCTGGCTGCTGCTTGCTGCATAGGACTTGTACTTCACCGTTACAAGTTGTTTACCCCTATCTCTAACCTAATGCATGCATAAGCGGGTGGTAAATTTACCCCCCAGGCTTGCTATAACCATACACCGGCTATTTCCTCAAGACACTCTATTCTTGATACCTTTTACCAGTGCTTATCCTACACTACGGACGCCCTAGTGTATGCACAGTCCTTGTGATGCTTACCCCTCGTTCCGGCTCAAGGCATACATAAGCGCGGGGTAAATTTACCCCCCAGATTTGCCATAACCATAAGCCGGCTATTTCCTCAGACACTCTACTCCTTATACCTTTTACCAGTGCTTATCCTACACTACGGACGCCCTAGTGTATGCACAGTCCTTGTGATGCCAGAAATGCTTACCCCTCTTTCCAGCGCAAGGCATACATAAGCGGGGGGTAAATTTACCCCCCAGATTTGCAATAACCATACACCGGCTATTTCCTCAAGACACTCTATTCCATATACCTTTTACCCGTGCTTCTCCTACACTACGGACGCCCTAGTGTATGTACAGTCCGTATGATGTCAGAAATGCTTACCCCTCTTTCCGACTCAAGGCATACAAAAGCGGAGGGTAAATTTACCCCCCAGATTTGCCGATCACGCATCTTCGTGCCTGCCAACGAGTGCACCCGGGTTGTTCCAATGTACCCTTCCCAGTCAGCGATGTCACATTTACATTCTTTAGCGCAAAGTATGTACATAGCAACCTTCCTCCCAAAACATGTCATCCCTACATGCTTTGCCGACTATGTAACTAGTACATCCGGTGCGATTCGGCTAGCTTTCGACCTCTCCCCCTGGCCTCAAGTTGGATGCGAAAAAAATTATTGCTCACTTTGGGTACCTTTTTGTTGCAAAACCGTCAGCCAGAGTGGCTGACAGAAATAAAACCTATTGTACAGTATCCTACAGCAAAATAGGACTGGAGGGTCCCATGTCTCAGAGGTCATCGATGTGTGTGTTGGGCCACAGATTCCTGGCTTTCCTGAGCTGAGTCGCTGAGTGACCCGGACAGCGCAAACAAAAACATGACTTGCTTGTTGTATCACTCTGGACATCTCTGGCCCAGTCGCCTGACCTGGTTTTGTAGCGTAAAATCCAGAGTATATCAAGCAGATCGGTGGTTCCGGATTCAGGCAATTATACTGATCAGTGGTAGCTGGAAGCCTAGGGTCGGGTTTTTGGAATGTTTTGGATGGTTTTTTCTCCAACCAATCACTGGATCCGTCCGTGCGTCCTCGCCAATAGGTGGAAAACATCATCTCCGACGCGGTGAAGCAACACTCCCAGGACGGGCAGCTCCACGTGCCCCCGGCGTGTCACAAAGCAACAAACAACAAGTGCAACTCCAGTTGGGGTAGTCGAAAGGGGTTCAATGTCCATGTAAATATTCCAGTTTGATTGGTCCTGTTTGGCAGCATGATGTGATTATCTGGGTGAATTACCTGGCATGGGGAAGACTGTTGCTGTATGTTTATGTATCCCTAGAAGTCAATGACCTCATGAACTCCTGGAGTTGGTCATATAGTAATACTACTCAATGGAGGTGAAAGACCCGGTTTTACTGGAGGTTTTAGCCGAGTATATACCCTCCACGGATCCTTGGACCCTCCACGAACTCTCCCCAAAAAACCGCCGTCGGGTCGGGACGTTTGGACCCTTCCATTCGCACGATCTCAAAGACGCGTTCCATTGGTTCTGGCCCGGATTCTTAGGGCGTGGCGTCATGATTATGATGGATGTCTTCCTGATTTGTATAGCTTTGGTAGCTGAAGTGAGCGATGAAGATGATGCTTTTGGGCCAAAAACCTTTTCAAGATTCTCGACCCAGCAAGCTGTGGGTAAGACCAAGAGCAACTGTAGCATCTAGGCCGCCTAGGCCCCTTAGATTTGGGCCCCCCCTGCTGCCTGGGATTCCTTAGGCCCCTTCTTCGATCTGGGCCTGTGAGAGATGAACCGATGGAGTGGCTGTTTTGCTTCGGCATTTCGCACCCGAGACCTCAAGAGCGTCCCGGATGGGTGGACGAAGCTGGTTGGTGGCCTGTCTGGTGCTGGTCATCTAACCACCCGCCAGGTCGTTGCTGGGTCGGGAAGGCTTACTGTAATAGCTGTAGAGTCGGGTCCCTGCTTTATTATGGATGGACATGAATCCGACCTGGACCTTCTTTCGGGGTGTCCTGTCCTGGAGATCCCCGAGAGTAGTATAGGGGCTTCCAGCCAGGTGACCCCTATTGATCCTGTGTTGGTTAGCTTCCTTTGCATGAGGTATCCATGATTAGGACCCAAGAAGGAGGTTTCGGCGAAAGGCCTGGAACTATATTCCTATCGAACTACCTTGTCAAGCGGTGTTTGCTTGAATCCTTTGTGAGGGAGTTCATGTGTGCGGCGAGATGCAGATCAAACTTCTAATGTTGACCGCAGTGTGTTTTTTTTTGTCTTTTTCGCCTGCCATATCCCCGTAAATTATTGACCCACACAAGACAAAGGCCATCACCATAATCTTCAACTCACATTGTCTTTGTGTCAAGCCCAGGAGCTTCATGATGTTTCTCGCGCAGAGGCCATGCAACTTAACTGTCTTTGGGTGGGATTCATCATGGTCATCTCATATCGTGAGCATCATGGAAGACAGAACTTGCAGCAGAAGGTCGTGGTTTCCCTGTCAGCCACTTGTTGAAAAGCAAGAGCTCTTGTCACCACCTGGAACTCTTGTCACCTGGAACTTGCCCCATGTAACTCGTTTGTTCGAACTCCAACTCCATCCACATCCCCCACCTCCGCTTTTCCGCACCGCCTCGCCATCGGGTCTTCCAGGCGGAGCCCGTGATGAGCCAGGCGCCGTGAACGACAGACACGACCGACAGACACGAGCTCAGCGGGGTCCGTACTTGGTAGGTCCAGGTCTTGTGCTAGGATGTCCTCCTAGGCAAACTAGGACAGGGATGGACGATGTGTTTTTTGGGGATAGTATACAATAACATTTAGAACATTTTTTGCATCTACGACCTACCAAGATAGAGTGTCTTTTTGGAGTTTAGGGTGTGCTTATCCCCAGGGCTCCAAGTACCTCCTCAGGAGGCATTTGGACCCTCCAAACCCAGCCCAAACACCTTCTCAGAAGGTAGTTGGAGCGCTAGGCTATGTATCTTGAGTGTTTGCTAGAGGATTCGCAATTGATTCCTTTCACAGTTTGCCCTATTCTTTTGGTTTGTGACTCGCAAGATCCATGTACTTTCAGAACTCTTTGGAGATATTTGGAGATGCTTTCTCTCAAGTGATCTCAGACATGTTTGGTTCTAAATATGCGAACCTTCTAGCCCTATAGCTTCGGGGCCGCAAGAATGTCGTCGCGGTTGGGGGTCGCAGATCTTCCCGGGTCTTCCGAGGCCGTCACTCTGCCGCACTTCTGCGGTGCGTTTGTCCAGCTGTTCGGATGTCATACGGGTCTCAGGATGAGGTTTTGAGGGGAGCTTTCTCAAGGAGAAGATGTTTCTCCTGATTCTCACTGGGGTTGGCCCCCCAGGGTATGACTTGGTGACTTGCTATGCCCAGACGGCTGTATACGAAGATGTTGACTTGAGTGCTGGTGCAGAGAGTGGCCCAACAGAAGTTGAAGTCTGGGATCAGAGGCAAACGGAAGGGTAGTGCACAGAAAGGGTTTTGCACAAACCTATTCTACTAACATCGTGGAAGGCGCGGGACATTCGTAGAACCCAAGGCTATTCGTGGACAGTTCGTGGAATGGTGGGCCAGTAGGAGAACTGACTGCAACGAAATCCCAGAAACCTTCGCAGAACTTTGTGGAAGGTATTTTTGATGCACTAACTTCGTATAAGCGATTTTTGCTGACCCCCTTTCTCCACACACCCTCCATTTAGCCTTCATGGGAGATCGGAGTGCCCCTTTTTTGTGACACGAAACAAATCAGTGCTAGGGCCATGCTGTAGGTGTAGTTAGGATGACATGCGTGCCTTTGTATATATTAATAATATATAACAATATATATATATATTATATATGTTTGTATCCAGAAATCCTGGTGGGATACAGGGTGAACATGTTGCTGGAAGATGGTGTTCACGAAGGAGCACAAGTTCACACATCTTCACCCATACCCAGACCACCCATGGGGCCGGTCTACTTACATTGGGAGTGCTTGGTTTCCGGGGCGGCTTCCAGTTGTCGTGCCAGACGACCTTCGTCACCGACCCCACTTCCGTCCCACAGGCGTGGTTGCGATGCAGCTGGGTCGGCTCCAATGTGGTCGGTCAAAAGAAGCCTTCCAATTTGTTTGGAGTTTCTTTTTCTGTCGCTGAAACGATCCAACATGATCCAACTATATCCAACTAGTGAAAAGAATACATAACACCTTAGCTGCATGTAGTTCTCGTGTCTGTTAGATTGTCTTGATATAGATAGGTCCAAGGATGTGAATCAAAGGGCCATGAGGGGATCCCCCATCCAAGCTAGGTCGCCTCCAGCAAATCCAAGCGATCATCCCCCACCACTTGAAATCGAGTTAGAGCAACCGCCCCATCTGCTGTCGCTCGGTGCATCGCTCGCCCCATCTGCGGCTCCGGGAGGCCGGGACCCCTGTCCGGGAGGGCGGACGTGTGTCCGATCCAAACGTCACTGGGCGACCAACAGCTGCAGGGGGCAGGGTGGGCGGGGTTTGGGGCGAAAAGGACACCCCCCCTGGTAGAGAGGACACCTCGCGCAAGTTTCGGATGCTTCATCTACTATAGTACCTGTTGGTCATTGTAGCGATGATTTTGCGACAGTGCGATTCCCAGATACAGTATGCTTAGGTATTTCTTGGTTGCAAGAGTTTCTGCAGATAGTGAGAGCTGGAGGATGTGTGCAAAGAATTTGGGGACATGACAAATTTTGCCAGCCATGCTTCAGTCCCCTTTGCTCAATGACCAGTGACTACGGGAGAATAAAGGTGAAACAGATGAAACGACACTCCGTTGAAATCCCTTCCACTGTATTTTTGGTCTCCGACACAACTTGTTTCTTGACTGGGTAGTGCTGTTGTCTTTATTGTTTTAATGAGGATTCATCATCATGGTTACATGGATGGCAAAGCCCTGAAAGGAAGACCATGAAATCTGAATACCAAGCAGGTGTTTTTTTCCACCTCCATGATTCTAGGGAGTGTGTGCCGTTTGCCCAAGGAACTAAGAACCGGGACTTGGAAAAAGAGACACTCACTGAGCGCCCGTGCTGGCAAAATCCAAAAAAGGACTTCGAACAGTTCAGGCGCACAAGGGAGGTATGGGTTCTAAACACAGGCGATGTGGCGAAGAGGGACCCCTCGGTCGCCACGTAGGTGCCAAGAGTTCAAGATGCCACAAGAAGATGCTAGTTGTATGGCCTGGAGCACCCCGTTCGTGGCGTCCGATCGCTGTGTTCGTAGCGATGCCCTTTGTTACGTTCGTAGTTTCTTGTTCCGTTCGTAGTATGGCCAGGAGCTACAGCTGCTTGAACCAGGACAGAGTGTGTCCTATAGTTCAAATACCCAGGAGAACCTTGGTTGGTCCTTAAACATCCTCAAAAGATTGAACAAACACACCTAATTACCAGGAGCATCCTGTTTGGGTGTCCATGGACTACCCTACACTACTTAGGTATCTCCATTGGACACCCATTGGAGGCTCCTGGTATGTGTGTACATGTACAATCAGGTATGAAAATAACAACCAAGCATAGCTAAGCACCTTTGTCCTGCCTGGCCAACGCATAGCTCGACCAAGGCATCGGCGGCATCGGCAGCGCTGAAAGGCACATGGGATCTACCACAGAGGAGGATCTACCAGAATCTACGTGTGACGCGTGGTGCATGTTGATTCTGGCCCTGTCACATGCCGAAGATCCATGCCATTTCTATTTGTGTTGTTTGTTCCGGGTGGTTGAAGCTAAGGAGTGCAAGGGGGTGAAACAAAGAGTTTGTGTTTTTGGGTTGACCCCCTCTCATGCGTCGAGTGGATTGGAGGGAACTGTGGCGACTGCAAGATTTCCTGTGGTTAGCAGGGACTCGTGTTAAGATGATCATCATTGCGTGTTTGACTGAGCAGATTGTTAAGATGATCAATAAAACCCTAATTTAGGATGGACATTGAAGACTTACAAATATCATGAAGACCTTGAAGAAGACCTTGAAGACCTTGGTGGCGTTTCTCGTTTCGTGACCGATAGGGATTTGACATGTCCATATATGTCTACCAGCAGTTCGGACGTCGTTTCGGTGGAAGATTGGGGTGTATTGGGTCTGGACATGACCCCGCTCGTCGTACGAACGGTTCATCGCACCAGCCCGACTTGTCCCACTCCTGGTCGAGTCATACAAGTTCAAGAACTCGTTGAAAGTAGTTCACATACCCATGCACCACCCATAAGACTGCCGGACTGCCGAGAAACGGCCTGGAGTGGTTCCAGGGGGGTCAATGTAGGCATATATGGCAGTCGCATGGAGTGTTTGGGATAGGAATCTGCAAGGTGTTCACTTTCCATAGTTCAAGTATACAAGTTGCGAGTCGAGTTGTGAAAAAAAAGACACGTCCCGGATGAAACAACCTGGAGGATGCTACGACATGGTTTTGATGCGCTGCTCAATTGGTCTCAAGCTGTTCATAATTTGACACGGAATTCATTGTAGTTCGATGTAATATTATGTGTGTGTAATGATGTATGTATACATACATATATATATATATATATTTGCATTGATCAGCAGAACCTTTATTCCTTCTACTGCAAGTGTCACGCTTGGACAGGTACATACCTAAACCCTTCACCCTTCCCCTGGCCGGTCGTCGTTCGCCCATGGTGGCGCGCAGCGCTTCGTTGCCAGGCGAGAATCAGCAGCTACGCTTGGAGGCGATCCCATTGGGTTGAAGTAGACACAGAGCGGGTTGAAGCACGGCGCACGTGAGGCATTCAGGTTTTGTGAGAAACTAGGGGGTATGTGGGAACCTCAGTGTTTGATAGAGTTTAGTAGTCTTGGAGGTGAGCTGCCATCAAGGTGATAGAGAGAGAGATAGAGATAGATATATACCTTAAGACCCTAAGAATCAAGCAGACTCAAGGGTGAAAACCTCCATCGGAAGGTCAAATGATTATGATGGTTAAATGATGGTTAGGGTAGTTAGATTTATAGTTAGATATAATCGTAGAAAGGATTATGGAGGAAATAGGAGAAAGGCTTCCCTTTGCTGTTGTGCTCTTGGCAGGACTTGCAGGTTTTGAGATGGTGTCTCTGTTTGCAACAACAGACAGGGGGTTCCGGGTTCCTTGCTTGGCCCAGGGGGGTCCTTACTTTGCCGCCGATCAGTTCGAGAACAGAGTTGAGTCTTCCAATGGAACCCTCCCAAATCACTGAGCAAAGGCGGACCTACCCTTTCGGAAAGTGGAAAACCGGCAACACGTTTTTGAGGAATTGGTTGGAGGTGGAAAAAGGTTCACCTCTATTTTCGAGGTAAACGGAGGGGGTATTGAATTGACATCTTTGTGACTTTGTCTAATCTGTTCAACCATTGACAGCTGGTTGACATACTGTGAATTACCTTTGCAGAGAAAGCTGCAGTGAGAGTGTGGGAAACAGATCATCCACAAGTTGATTATGTGTAGGAGGATCCAAGTAGAGCTTGCCCAACCAGTTTTTGTTGATGCAAATATCTTTCAGGGTCACATGCAGGCAAATGCAACTGAATACTGTGTACAGTATATATATACACTGTATATATATACATATATAATATACATGTACATGGAGAGAGAGAGAGAGAGGACAGTTGCAGCAAGTGCGCCGACAGGTCCAGCTGCTGCAATAGGATGAACCATAGATCACCAACTCCGGATGTTGCGGAAGTGGACTTCCACCACACTTTACCAACAGAGGTTAAAGGACCTTATAGACTATCCCATAGGTACCTCTGTAGGGTCCTACTTACGGTCACTTAACCTCTGTAGGATGCCACCCTGTGGCGGCCGCCCTCCTCGACCGATTCAGACGCCGACCTTCGACCGGTGGATGTATACGGAAGGGCCGCCCAAGCGAGCGAGCGAAGCTAAGCGATCGATCCTTAGGACTGCCCATGAAAAAGCACCCAAAAACAAGCGCCCTGGTGTTGCGGATCGAACCCAGCGGTGATGCTTAACGTATGAATCCTAGATGTTATGCCTGGGGGTATGAATATATAGTCAACGTACAACACGAACATCATCATAGTGGTCCCAGATGCAGGCGCTGCGCTTAACGGTCGTACTGGAGTCCAAGAGAGGACGAGTCCCAGCTACCACGGTGATGGACGGGTCCATCCACTCCCAGTGCCGAGAAGTCGGAGCCGAGACGCTCCGCCGAGACGCGAAGTCGTTCGTTTCGACGCTCCCAAGGGTGGACGATCGATGCTCCGGCCCCACTGTGTCCTGGTCCACGTCCCGTTCTGCGCTGCGCCCGCTGTCCCGGGACGGACCCGGTGTCTTCCCGGTCGCGTCCCGGTCTGCTGAAAGGATCTCAGTGATCGCGTGTAGGAGGCGCACATGGATTTTTTCCAAAACCTGGCGGACTAGATTCTCTACTAGATTCTCTAGATGCCAGAGATGGGCATCTGTCCCACACCAAACCAAAACCACAGAATCACCCAGAAAACGAATCAGTGGAGGTTTTCAGCGAATATGACCATCATACAGCATAAGCTGAGCAACTAAAATACCCAAGGGCAACACTGAGCAATACAAGTACAATCGGTTTCAAATGGTTTCAATGTGGTCATCGATCCTGGTGGTTATCGATCCGCATGCTGCAACCTTGGTTTCTTGGCCGTGAAACGAGTCGTCATTGGTCGGCATGGAACCTGCGAAAGCTGCCACAGGCAGCTGCCTCTATCCGGGGTATCCTTGCGTAAGGTCTGGGATTTGCTTGTTTGGAAGCTGGAATGGGTTTGGTGCTTTTTGAATTGTTGCATTGTGTGTTCTTGTTGGGTGAATGACATGACAGCGGGTTGCATGTATGTTCTGGACGTCGGCACTTCGGACAATGGACAGTCAAACGCCCTTTTACTGACTGCCAATTGCCAAACCGACCAACACACAGCGGGGTGCAGCCTATCGGGCTTTATCGCCTCCTCAGCGCAACGCTGAAGCTGTCCTTTCATCATGAGCACGCTGCCGTTCAACTGGTTATAGCAAGTTTGAGACGGAAAGACAAGCGATAGCATGATTCATACTCTATGTAGAATTGGGTTTTTTCTTTCAACTGGATGAAGTTGGGCATTTGCCTTGTACTTAGCATCACTGGGGCGCATCTTTGGCGAACCATTCGTCAGGCAGTTACCACTCTATACCAATAGAATATATTCAGCATACCCGTGCTTGCCAGCCACTCCGGAAAGCTGTGCTTGAAGCGCTGTGGAGGACAATTCTTGGGGCAGGGCTTCATGCTGACTCATGCCCGTCGCCGACCCACACTTCCATCTTCGCGATAGCAGCGTGCCAAGCTTTTGATGCTAGTTGGCGTTGTCCGTTGCACGGTCTGGAGATTTTCACGACTTGCTGTATTGTGTGGTTTTGTGCACATATGGCATATATGTTCTTTTGGCACCGTTGATAAACTTGAGGTTCCGGCAAGTCTTATCCCTGATTATTTGTGAGCCCTGGCCATTTTTTCGCTGCATCCAGGTGGGCCGTTTGCAGAGGGCATCTTCCTCAGTGGACTTCGGAAACTTTGAGATTGGTCAAACTGATTACGCAAAACATTGGTGAATTTTGCCATATTTAGGTGCTTTCTTTCCGCAGTTGACGGGAATCGGGAAGAACATGGAAGAACTGAATTTTGCAGTGTTGATAAGTTGATGGACAATTTTAATTTTCAGCACCGTTAAAACCATTAGATATACCGTTCTTCATTAATTTCAATGAGATACGGTTTTTGGAGTTGAGGTGTGCGTTATGTGTCACCTGCCATTGGTACGGGCCCTTCAATAGCACCATGGGCCCTTGTGCAAAAAACACACCTTTGGATCTTGAGGTTTTTGGGTGAGTTTGTTTTGGGCAACGGCGTGTCAAGCCCCAAGGTTTTACGGTGTCCCGTCACTCCCAAAACACTCGTCGTGCGCACGTGGGATTGTGACTTTGAGGCGGCCGCACGGCGGACACTCAATTCAAGATGCCCAGACGCCACCCATGGGACTGCCATAGGACTGCCGACACATTGACCCCGATTCAACCACCCCAATGTAAGCATATATGGCAGTCCCATGGAGTGTTTGGGATGGATGAATTTGTTCGTGTTTGTTCACCGTTTTTTTTGCCAACATGTCAACAATTATTGGAAGAACAACTTCAGACATTTTGGACGATGACAACCCTATTTGTTTTGGAATATGTTGTTCAGTCGCAGTATGCTGCAATGTCCTTGTGTCAGGTGCGCCAAGTAGATTCAAAATGTTCCTTGTCCTTGATAGATATTGTCCATGCAAAGAATGCACGTGTTTGAGCTCTTTTGGCCGTTTTTTCCTAGGCCACCACGCTTGCGTGACATGTGACATTTTCGCTGCCCAATGGCTCCATTGGTCTCATGGCTAGGCCGACGCGATGTTCAGTCAAAAAGACGTCTCTGGTTGCCCCCTCAACAATGCGCCGCTGATTTTTGGAATTAACAGTAGATTCAAGTTTTGAGCGTGCTTTGACAGATGGAAGATCACCTGGAAACTGGATCAATAGCTACACTTTCTTCAGAAGGTTTGCCTTTGGTTCACTCGTTAACGACCCGAACATGGCTATGATGCTCGGTGTTTTCCCGCAGGAACAAGAGGATAGAAGGACTTAATCTGTATAATGTTTGCTGATTTTGCACGATCTTAACACAGCCGAAGGAGCTCGAACCTGACGATTGTGCAAGGTTCAATGCTTTCATTCTTCAGGTTCACATGAGGAGTCTATAGGTCCAAATTGTGGAAGGGCCCCTTCTTGGATCTGGGCTCGCGCAGGCCCCCTCTCGTTTAGGTGTCACATGCCATGAAAACGCGTTGATCCTCACAATCCTTTCCATCGTGAGTCCAACTGCAGTCGTTGTGCGTCCATTTCGTTTGGTTTTTCTGCTCGCCATGGGCCGCGCCCCTTGAGAAACGGGCGACAGGTGCGACAGAAACGGGCCGCCCCTTTGGGTGCGGGGACGGCCGCTGGAGAACTCGGCCACCTGTTTGGTCTTCAGAAGAGGGTCATCCTTTCAGGGTGCCATCTATAGTGGTCCCCAAATTGATAGAAGCAGTTGGCAATACATGTTGAAAAAGGATTTTTCTTGTATCACTTGTATCTATTGATTTGGGGATCTATAGACTATATACTGTTATGGGTTTTAATTGGGTCGGCCGACCCTTCCTTAACCTGCACTACTTGGGGAAAAACGATCCAGGACCCCCGGGCCAGGGGTGTCCAATCAGAACTCAGAGGTTAAGGGATGTCCATTCACCACCCCAAACAGAGGGCCCTGGATCAGGAAGAGGTGTCCGACCGCGGTGATAAGGAAGATGGGCCCACCACATGCGACGGTCGAGGTCGGGCGAGGCACTCACCGTCCAAAAGCGACCGCTGGCGCCCGAAAACGACGCGTCCGTCGACCTGGGCACTCGGGGACGAACCATGCGAACACGGGGCACGGCGGGTTCCGAAAGCGACGACCGGGGGCGAACTGAGTGTGTCATTCGTCAGAGCGACTCGGTGGGAGAAGTATAGGCCTGGCTTTGCGGTGATGTTGGTACTTATGGTTAAATGAATCCCCTAACCATGGTGAATCTGAATATGTATCGAATACGTTGTTCTTTTCCACGTTCCACGTTCCAGCCAATCCGTTTCCGCGTGACGCGTCGGATGATCGTGGTGGATGTCCAGAGTCGGTGAGAGGGGTTCGGTCTCTCGGTCTCGCCTCTCCGGGTCGAGACCCGCCTGCGGTACTGTATCTCCTGGCACACTTTTCAGGTCCAGGTACTAAGGTACCTCACAGTTCTGCAGGCACCTCCATCGAAACATACATGAAGCCCCATGAAGAATGACCCAACCATGGTGGCGGTTCGGTGGCGGTTCCTACCCTTGCCAGGATGGGCTTCGAAGATTTGGGTCTCAGCGAGAGGCCCGGCCAGCGGCAAACGCTTCTTTTTTTTCTTCGGTGTTTGGTCAGTGTCATGTTCCAGTGTTGCAGGTAGTTCCATCTTGGGGCGAACTTGGAGGATAGGGCTGCCCCTGTCACATCCACATATAGAGACTAAAGTTCTAAAGGCCACCCCTTGGTGACTCATAATTTTTCTCCATGACTTTGGAGGCAGTAACGAGTTCAGCTGCGGGATTATTTATGTGAACTCACAAGCAGACCCTAGAGCTCCAAGTACCTCCTCATCCTTCTCAGAAGGTATTTGGACTCGACCCTCTAAACCCACCCCAAACACCTTCTTAGAAGGTACTTGGAGCCCTAGGGAGACTTGGTGAACCCCGAATCCGAATCTGACAAATTCTGTAACACAGTGGATGAATGGCCAGAAATTCACGGATCTGGGACACTTCCCAGGCCTCTACCATGCTCTTCCAGACACGGCCCGGTCCAGAAGACCAAGAGATTTACCTAGAGATCCACCTCGAAACCCAGCCCAAACCAGAAAACAACGGGTTCTTCTAATGATCTACGGATCCTTGACGTGACAAGTGTAGTACCAGATGCACCATCAGAGCGACCGAGGCCATCGCTCCCTTTTGGGCAGCTCAATGGCAATCAAAACGCACCTCCCCACCAAATCATGGTACGTGGCAGAAGCCAGCGAATACCAGGGTCGCTTTGAATTGCCCCGTGCACGATCGGCACAATTGTATGGGGTATAGAGGGCAATGGAGATGTTGCAATGGTCTCATCAGCACTGGATTCCCTTGACCTGATGCTAAAGGAGGTCAACCATGCCAAGATTGGTATTTCGACCTTTGACATGGGTGCTGTGTTTTTATTGCATGCATTTTCCTAAAAAGCTACATTGAGGAAGTAAACAGACATGTATCTATATATATATATGTGTGTGTTTTCATTGTGAGATATATACAATTATATACTGTAAGTATATACATTATCACTGGATCAAATCACAATAATAAACCTCCCCTAGTGAAGAATATGCAGCACATATTTTTTGTCAAAGTAATCATTACTCGCAATAATACACTATATATAAACCTCAGACCTTAGGAATTTGACAGTGTATTATTGCAACCTACTAGAAAACCAGTTTTTTGATTGTAGAGGAGTATGCAAAGTTCATTACTGCAAACTTTTGATATAAGCAATCTATTTGTTGGCAGGTGTTTGTAATTGGTTGTTTTAGGTCTTCGTAAGGGTACTCTTTGCAACTGTTTGATCGTTGGAAGAAGGGTGCTATTAAAAAAAGTTTTTGAGCTAGGTTTAAGTTTAAATGTTGCTTTTGTTGAGACAATCTCATTATTTGGTTAGCCTGTGGCAACCTGGGATGTCGACATGTTCTTCGACCATGGCGGGTTCAAGAGCTGCGCACTGTGAGCAGCTGTGGGGTATCTTCTTCCTTGCCACCTTTGAAGATTCACAAGGGCAGGCCTGGGTTCTTACTGCTTTGCCACTACCCAGTCGCAATCTACGTCCCAGCTCCCCCCCACACAGCACCTGCAGCAGTTCGAGCAGGAACGCTGCAACCGCTTGTGGAATGCTGGGGTGGACACCCTAATCCCCACTCATCGCCACAATGGTGCAAATGTGGCGTGGTGGACCATCAAATTCAACACCATCCAAATCCAGCAGGCTTTGGCAGGGATGGGCATTGGTGGAGTCTTTTAGGCCAATCCGGTTTCAAATCACCTCTCAATGCTTGGACACGAGACTTCCTTTTCCGTGGACAATTTGGAGATAGTGATTCCACTTCCCTACCATGCAGAAACAGCTCCAGAGGTCATAAACTTTGGAGTGTACGGTGTGGAAGGGAAGTCGGGCCGCAATGTCTCCAGCTTCCACGATCACATCATTGACAGCGATAGTGGTGCATTTGCTGCTGACCTGACTGCTATCACAAGACACGGCATCTTAGCAGCCAGTGGGCCAGCTGGTGAAATCTGGTGCACGACAAGTCTTGGAGCTGAACAGGCCCAAGCCCAATCTTGGAAAAAACCTTGACAATTTGACAACGTGATTCTGAGACTATTCTCACCAAAATTTCACATGCCCCATATCAACTGCAAAGATGGCATGTCTCGTTGGGAAAGATTTCCTTATTAAAGCATTCAAGGCAGATAAAAATAAAGCAAATGCAAAAATGCATGGAAGACACGAAAGGTTTATTGGCAAATTCTTTGCTCGGAAGGTGTAGAGTATTTGCTCCTGTCCCGAGGATGCGCGAAATGCAACATGAATATCAGTTCTTTAGTCTTCAGGAAAGGAGCTTTGCTCATTAAAGGTATTTGCTCCTAGTCATAGTCTTATAGACCTGTAGTTCAGACAGCAGGCCTTGAGTGGAAGTCTTTGTTCCCCAAACACAGTGTCCACACTGAGGGGTTCTTACGGTAGGTGTAAATGCCCGGGTTCGATCAAGGTACCCTCTCTGAGCCCGTGTGTTTTGGCTGCGCAGGCTCGCAGAAAATTTCCGTTCTGAGACGAAACGCTGGGTCCGGGACGGTGCTTGACGAAGGTGCACTCTTGTTGTGGTGCCGTGCTCGCACGAGATTCCGGACACACAGGTGCTAGAGACGCAGGCCTACACTGACTCCCAAGTCATGGCTGAGCATGGCCTGGAGAACAAGAAGGATGATGGCGACCTGGCGAAGAAGAAGCATGATGGGACTGATGCCCAACCCAGAGACGAAGCGCAAGTGGTTTGGCGGAAGGGGATGAAGCTAAGCAGATTGAGCGCCAAGGTGCCTTCATCTTCGACGAGTCTGAGGAGCTTGCGCCCACGATTTGCGCGTGTCGCAAGTGCGGGTTGAATGTGGAGATCAGTGAGTGCATGATCAGAGGCCCAAGGGAGCTTCGCAACGTGCAATGGCCAACACCAGAGTTCCAGAGAATGGACGCTGAGAGTCAAATGGTCTTCTTTCAGAAGTGCGCTGAGGAGAAGCTGCAGAGCCAGAGGGGCCAATTCGCCTACTCGAAGATCAGAGACACACTCAGCAAGACTCTGGTCGAAGAGCATATTCGTCCGCGCAAGATGTCAGTCGGAGGCCTACCAAAAAGTGTGTACGAGGCTCAAGGATATGTCCTGGATTCTGAGTTTGAAGCCCACAACCCCAAGCAGTGGAGTGAGGGTTCGCAACAGTGTGTGCACATGCTTCCAGAGCTGACCATCCACGAGGAAGAAGTCAAAGAAGGCCTTGACTGCTGAGGAACCCGAAGCGGTGGAGACTAAGTCACAGAAGACTGAAGTCCCCGCTGCAGTCCTGGACTTGGTGAGCGACGGTGATGATGATGAAGGCCTGGTCCTATCATGCATTGGTTTCTCACCAAATAGAATAAGCCCCCCCTCCCCTCCCCATATTTTACAAAACTCGGGCGCATTTCTTTGAATATAGCCCCTGAAATAGGGGTTGTCCAAAATAGGGTCAGTGGGAGGATCCTTTTGAATAATCAGTGATTCCGTAGCCATTTTGGCTCAAGTTCCCATCGAAGATTGACGACGAGCCTTTAGCATCATCTGAACAAGCCCTCATCCGGTTCGGAACTTTCTCTTTGGTCTGCTAGTGGTCAAAGACTTTCATGATGTCCAAGTCATCAACCCCGTCGTCAGAGCCAAAGTCGTTCGGGCCAAAAGCCCCTCTCTTCCCTCCAGGAGCAGAAGTTCACTTTGCATCTGCACCTCCCCCCGGTGTTGGGCGGGCCTATGCAGTGGACACGGAGGCTGAATTCGCCAATCCACGCCCGAAGCCACCTCCAGGGCGGGTTGTCCAGGGAAGGACACCAAAGGGGTCAGAAAAGCGGTCAGATGCCATCTTCGCCATCAAGACCTTGCCCAAGCACAGGGCCTCTCAACCCCCATGGGTCAAAGAGTTCTTTCTCTTCGCCCTTTCATTGGCGGTAGAGATCTTTGACGAGCTGTGGCAATTGGCAATCCTGGTTCGGAAAGCTCAGGAAGGGTCTGACGTATGGGACAGATGGTACCTGTTCAGTGACAAGGTCTGTGCACTCTTCAAAGAGCAGGCAAAATCGTACAAGGAAGAAAAGATCCAGGTCTGCACACTTGGCATTCTCCAAGACTCAGGAGATCACGCGGATGTGATCCTCAAGGTTATTGACCACTTGTTGGAGCAGCAAGAAGTCAAGGAGCGCGAACACAACGCGTCAAGGCGCCAGAAGCTGATTCGTGACGCACGCTCTAACAACGACGAAGCTCTGGTCCGGGAACTTCAAGACGAGGCTCTGACCGACACAGCCGCCATTCGTGAACGCATCCGGACGACGCATGACGCGTATTATCAAGCAATGCGCGAGCTGCGAGAGCGACAGACGGAGTCAGGCAATCTACTTGGTTTGACTCAGGCTGAAACCGCAAGGCTGGAGAGATTTGCCGAATGGGAAGAGAGAGAGAGAGAGAGAGAGAGAGAGAGAGAGAGACAGCCTTGAGGGAGGGTACAGCAACAGGTCAGTGCGCATCCCAGGATACAAATACGCGCAATGTTCCTTACATCCTCCTGTGTCTGCTCCCTGTGGCGGCAACGGTCCAGGAACTCATCTCTCAGGGCAAAGATCAGACTGTCCTCACTGCGAAGGACATCGAGCATATTCTCGACTTCTTCTACACCAATGTTTGGGGGGTGAGCATTGGCCAAGCCTTGGCCAGGCTTGCAAGCTCGCTCTACCGGCTACCGTGTGGAGTCAGCATGGCGAAGGTGTATGAACGCCTCAGCAAAGAAGGCTTATTCATGGCCAGCGAGGGGATCGACACGAGCCCAGCCGTGCTTACAGGACTCCGCATTCAGAGAGCCTATGCTGAAATGCTCGGCCGTGAGTCAGCATTTGGGTTCTTGACGGCCAAGGGACCTGAAGCTCTGGCAGGAGTGGCTGAGTTGTGGAAAGCCGAAGAACGGATTTGCCGACGCAAATCTTCAGGCCAGTGCCACTGAGCATCTGGTTAGCGGTTCGGTGCTGTACGCACTGATGTTAGGCAAGCATTCCTGGTTCCACCGAACAGAAGGGCAGACTGCCAATGCGCCCTTGGCAGAGAGTGATACGGATGGCAGTGTGAAGAGGACACGCTGATTCAGGCACCAACCGAAGCCTGGGATCTCTATATCCAACGGAGTGATACGCAGATTACGCAGGAGCTTGGTTGGACACTCCGACCAATATGGCTGTTGAGTGAGTGCACGCTCCCGAAATTTTAACATTTGCTAGTTGCAAAAATGCGAATCCATGATTTGGATTTGATGGCTTACCTCTATAGTTTCTCCACTAAGAGACTCGCTTCCCCCGGCCATGCTGCCGCTGCTTGATGCGCCAGCATGCGAGGACTTCCACTGTGATCGTTTGGCTGGTGCGAGCGCTCCTACCACTGTTGCTCTTCGTGATTTGGCCACTTGGGCGAAGAGATGAGTTATGTTGGAAGGGGGTATTTTTTCTTCCAAAGCAGTGTAAACCAGCACAGTTCATGCTTGCAGTGTGCACCCAAACCACGTTCTGCGCGTGGCTTCAGGTATGCGACGCAGCCACTGGAGACTGGGTATGGCTGGGATCGCTTTGGGTTCGTGGGTTTTCGCGGGACCCCATCGATGGGATTGGTCGTTGTTTCCTGTTGGATGGGCCTGATGGTAGCGTGCAAGCACCCTTTTTCATCCTTTTTCATATACCCATCAATGATTGGCATGAAACCTAAGAGTTTGGCATGAAACCTATGATGGTGAGTTTGTTACCGTTATTTTTGAATGCAATGTTCCTATGATATGGCTTCAATATGCTTCAATATGTTTCAGCATGTTTCAGCCACCATGTTATATATGCCATTTGGGGCTTGACCAACGCCCGCCAGCAAGCGGCGGCGATTCAGCGGGAGACAAGACGGGCTCAACGTCTGCCGAGGGAAATCGAGACGGGCACGGAATTCAGGCGGTGTATCGGTAATAGGAATTTGATGGAATTTGAATGCTAGAGGTTGAATCAGGGACCCTTTTTGGAGTCGACTATCCCAGTTGGGTGGGCCCCACGTAAGGTCAGGTCCTCAATGTCCTTATTTATTTTCGGGTCACTTAGAGCTCTCTTGGTTTGTGCTGCCACGACTCAATGGTAGTCACGGTCACCCCATGGATGGTTGCGTCAGACTCTCCTCGCAGGGTGGATGGTGGGATCGTTTTTTTGCTTCGTTTGGGCCGGGCCATGGGGCTTAGTTTTCCGCGCCAGTTGTGTCCGTTCCATTCCCCAGTTGTGTCCGGGCGATGCGTCGAACCTTCAAACGTGCCGGTGACCCGATGCCGATGCCTTGGAGGAGCGAAGGACATGCACCGGGCCGGTGGTGTACGTTATGGGCATTCGATGTATTCCAGACGCGACTAATGGGACTGGAATATATGCCTACAATCATTGGGGTGGTTGGGGGGGTCAATGTAGGTCCAGATGGGTCCAGGACCCTTTGAATCGGATGTCCATATGGCCTCCTTTGGTCCAGTTCGAGGGTGGAGCAGGAGCACTTGTAGCGGAAAAAAAAGTTCGGAGCGTCCGAATGAACACATGAGCGCATGTGAGCGCGCAGACCTTCAGATCAAGGACGAGAAACCAAAGTCAACAGCGTGGACTGGGTGGCACTCCGTGCAACATATGTTTCAGGAAGCCGCTGCAAACGAGGAGCACCGCTGCAAAACGGCAGCAGTAGACCCAAGTGCACAGTGGCTCGAAGGCGCCGGACAAGCCGACCATCCGGCATGGTCCTCCATCACGAGCAAGAACTACAAGCCTCGAAAGAACTTCGGTGATTGGATGGCCACAAAGGTGAAACAGAGTGTGGAAAAGAGATCAAAGTGATGGCCAACTACTACATGCTGATGCACATGCCTGCAACGGCTCCTCCATTCGGTTCAAGAGGAGGCTTCAAGTACAAGTTGCACCTTAACTGGAGGAAATGTAAGTTTTTTTATTTTTCGTCATGGGCCTAAACTTCCTGAAAGCGACCTCAGTGGTGTGGCGCCATGGTCACGAGGTTAGCAAGAAAATCAGAGACGCACAGCAGGTATTCAAATGCTCAGGCGTGATTGGAAACGCAACACACTAAAACTACGACTATAAGCACAAGCTTAGCATCTATTATATTATGCCAAGTTGTCAGTAAACTACTGCTTGACGGACAAGCAACAGTGGCTTCTTGATTCATTCCACATCTGATATTTACGTTCCATAGCCGACATCCTTTCCACCTCGGGACTCGGGACCTCGGGTGCAACAATTCTGTGACCATGAGCAAGTCCATTGCGACATGACGTGGCAAACTTATAGGATGAACTCCGGCTGCAGGAACTCACTCTTCTAGGGCACATTCTTCGAAGCCCACCCACCCACTCACCCACCCACCCAGCGACCCAGCCACAAATGCTTGGTGGGCACCGCAGGGAAACCCGCCCGCGAAACTCACCCCGACCCCGGAGGAGCAGAAACTGGTCTACCCCCGAAAGCTGCTGTTAGCTGCGCGCGAGGCGGGGCGAAGGACGCAGACGCGCAGGACGCGGAGCGCCCAAATAAAGAAGAATTGATCACCTGCTTGCAGAGTGGGACGCCATATTCGTCCTTTGTCAGGATTGGGCACGCCCCACTCAGCAAGTGAAGAAAGAAGGAAGAAGATTACGGTGTGCTCCCCCACCTGGGCCGGCGACCGGCCGGAAGTTTTTCTCATGACATATCTTCTTCTATTTTGGACATCACTGGACATCAAATAATTCATCATGTTGTCTTTTTTGACCTCCACATGAGCGTCAAAAGTCCACATCCAAAAGATGAGTTTGGACCGTCGAGGTTTGTGTTTAATGGCTGAAATATCTAGAATGGTCCTAGATCGTTTATGGTCCTAGAATTGTTGGGGATGAGATGGAAAAAAGTATTGAGAGCCCCCCAAAAAGGTCATGTACTGTACCAGCACCTCCAACAGGTCACCAATTGAAACCTGTTGGGGCCCTTCCCAACCCTCCATTTCGGAGACCTGTTGGAAGGTGCTGGTAGAAGAAAGTCAATGTCCTTCAAAGATGTTCCGGATTCGGTGCTGAAACCACCTTCCGCTCATGGACTGTTTTTTTAATACCCGGTCTGGTCCGTATACCCAGACACGACCCATGGGACCGGCATGGCCGATCAATTGACCCCGTAGAAAAGCCCAACTGATCGGTAAACATATGCCAGTCCCATGGAGTTTGTCTGAACTTACCTGTAACAGTCAGTCAACAATGATCACTACTTTTGGACGTTCGGTCTCTAACCATCATCCACACAACCAGGTAGACTATAGACCCAAGCAACTGATCGGTAAACATATGCCAATCCCGACGTTTCGGAGACATCACTCGACCGTTCCTCTGGACCGGTCACCGCCCCAGACCAGCGAGAAGAGACCGGTGGAGCTCCTCCACTTGCGGACCAAGCGCGTCGAGAGTCAGGTGGGACGCCGCGGCCGATGGCCGACAACCACGACTGGAGAGGTGTGGGACGAGGTTGCCTTCACCACCGACCCTGGAAGACGATCCCATGGACCCTGAAAACCACTGGTTGGTAGAGGAAAACAATCTTTCCAGGGAGCGAGGACGGCAGGGTCTATGTGCGTTTGGAGTGTATATCCGGAGTGGAAGAGGCGTATCAATGAAGTGGTGTAAGGGAACATCTGCAGGAGACTCTTGGTAGTTTTACTCCAAAACTATGGCTTTCCGGTAGATGTTCCCTTCAACCAATTCCGGGAATCTACCAATACATTGACCCTTAAAACATCTTGAAACATGTGAATACAACCCCCCAAAATGTGGGCCAAGAGGCCAGTCCCATGGATTGTTTGTGATTGTGTAATTCTGTTTAGGAGTTGATCCATCGTTTTGGAGGGTTCCATTTTTTTGAGTCGAAAGCAAGGATTGTGAAAAGAGGTTTGGATATATTTCGCACATGCCTGCAGACCTGGAGGGAGCTGTTTGACACAACATCAGACGCTTGACCAACCATACTGGCAGCGTTGATGACAAAATGTGGCCTGTAAGATTCACAAAATGATTGTCAGGTGTGTTGATCGGCCTTCACCTCCCAATAGGTGTGCCAAACACGATCGGCCAAACACGGAAAAAACAACACGAAGCCTATAAGAAAGACCCAGAACCTCGTGTTGAATCACCCATTGTGTTACGGGATCTCCTACTGTACCTAAGAATGTTCATAGTAAATTCTAGTTTTATAGTAAAATTAAGCGTTATTGTATGCAATTGGTTTGTTATCACACCGTTTTGCAATGCTCTATCCCAGACCATCCATGCATGGAGTATGAAATTTCCCATGAACATGACCCATGCATGGCGGTGTAGCTCTTCCAGTCAGTTGAATGGTCGTCTAGGTTGGGTATATCGGTATATCCCCCACTACCAGGGCCCAGTGGATGATGACTAGATCGCAGGCCTGATAGTCTTTTACCAACTGTTTCCGATTTGCTCGGCTACACCCTAGGTCTATCGGTATGTATAGATTGGGTTTGCCCTATTACCTGTAACCGTCAGTCAATAAACAAACAAATCACTATTTTTGAGAGAAAGGCATGCAACCTAACCATCATCATCCACTGGGTACTGGTAATAGGATTGACCCAAGTAACTGCCTGGTTAATTTTAAGCTTGACCCTGAAAACCAACATGTTGGTATTATAGAGGAAAAACCGCTGGTTGGTAGAGGAGAAACTCTATAGTAAGACTAGTCCACCTTCACAAGGCTCGATTCAGATGCCAAGCTCGGGCACCGGTCTTTGCCCTCCGCGGGTCTCCACGTGGTGGAGGTCGGTCAGGAGCTGCAGGCACGTCCCAAGGGTGGATGATGTTTGTTTCTGCAACCGAAGGAGCGTGAGTCCTCAGAAGTCCTCAGTAATGACTCCTTTTTTGGGGGTTCTTCGCCAAATCATCCAGGATGTACTGCAAGCAACTCACTTGTTTGAGTGTTTCGATGCCCAATGCGAGGATCCAAAGCCCAAGAGGACGGCGGAAAGGATGTGGGGGACATGGCTGGCCTCAAAACCACCAGGATTTTTGGGGTCCAGGAGTTACAAG